TTTATTTTATTTTTTAATTAACATTAATTTATAAACCATAAAATTCACTCTTGTAATGTGTACAATTTAGTGGTTTTTAGTATATTCACAAAGTTGTGCAGCTATCGTCAGCAGTACTACCTAATTCCAGAACATTGTATTAGTCCACAAATAAACCTAGTACCCATTAGCAGTCACTCTTTATCTTTGCTCCTAGCAACAATTATTAATCCACTTTCTGTCTGTATAGGTTTGCCTATTCTGGACATTACCTGTAAATATAATCATACAGTAAGTTCATTTAACGTAATGTTTTCAAGGTTTATCCATGTTGTAGCGTACAATCAGTACTTGAATTCTTTCTTGGCTGAATAGTATTTCATCATATGGATATACTACATTGTATTCATCTATTCATTAGTGGATGGAAATTTGGGTTATTTCCACTTTTTAGCTATTGTGAATAATGCTGCTATGAACATTCTTGTACAAGTTTTTGTGTAAACCTGTGTTTTCAGTTCTCTTGAGTATATACCTAGGAATAGAATTTCTGGGTCGTATGGTAATTCTATGTTTAACATTTAAAGGAACTTCCAGACTTTTCCAAAGTGGCAGCACCATTCCCACCAGCAATGTATGAGGGTTCCAATTTCTCCACTTTCTGCCAACACTTGTTATTGTCTATGTCTTTGATTCTATCCATCCTAGTAGATGTGCAGTATTACTAGTATCTGATTTACCTAATGACTAATGTTGAGTATCTTTTTATGTGCTTATTGGCCATTTGTACAACTTCTTTGGAGAAATGTCTATTCAGATCATTTGCCTATTTTTAAGTTGGGTTGTCTTTTTATTGTAGAGCTGTAAAAATTCTCTATATATCCCAGATGTTAGACCTTTATCAGATATATGACTTGCAAATATTTTTTCCTATTCTATGGATTGCTTTTCATTTTCTTGATAGTGTCCTCTGGTGCACAAAAGTCTCTAATTTTGATGAAGTCAAATTTATCTATTTTTCCTTTGGTTGCTTGCACTTTTGGTGTCATATTTAAGAAACCATTGCCTAATCCAAGGACATGAAGATTAATACTTACTAAAAGTTCTATAGTTTTAGCTCTTACATTTAGATTTATGGTTCATTTTGGGTTGATTTTTATATGCAACATAAGGCAGGGTCCAAATTCTTTCTTTTGCTTGTGACTGTCCAGTTGTCTCAGCACCACCTGTTGAAAAGACTGTTCTTCTTCCATTGTGTTGGCACCTTGTTGAAAATCAATTGACCATAAATAAATGGGTTTATTTTTGGATTTTCAATTATAATTTATTGGTCTATATATCCATTCTGTGCCACATTGTCTTGATTACTGTAGCTTTGTATTAAGTTCTGAAATAGGTAAATGTGTGTCCTCCAACTTTTTCTTCTTTTTCAAGGTTTTTCTGACTATTCAAGGCCCCTTGCAATTTAATTATTTTTGATATAATGTAACATCGGTAAGTATAAATAAAAAAAAACTCCTTGTGCTTATACAACTACAAAACTGAAACAAATTTACAAATTAAATACAAACATCTACAAAACTAATAATATGCAAATGAGCATAATTAAATTTGATAGCTGAGGTTGTTTCTTTGAAATGGAATTGTATCTTTAAGGTGAATCTGGAGTTAATTACAGATTCATTAGGATTGGCATGCTTATACTGTTGCATGCTGGGTGATAAGTACTTTTCCTTACCACATTTTCAGTTTGAACCACTAGGAAGCTTCCCTTTATATAGCATATTGTGACATTATCTTCATATGGCACAGAGTTATCATTCATATTTTTCCCCAACATTTTATTATGAAAATTTCTAAGCAGACAGCAAAGTTTAAAAAATTTTATGGTGAACATTATGTATACGCACCACCTAGATTCTATTTGCATTTTATTACACTTGCTTTATATGATTTACATTTTGTCTTCCTTTCATCTCTTTAGCCCATGAAATGCAAACTTGGACATTTAATTTTTTTTTTAGCAATATTCATCATTAAATGTGAGCAAAAATGTGCCTGTACTAATTTTTTTGATTACCATCAAATGAAAATACAAAAATAATTCTTATGGAGAATTCATAGACAAGCGAAACTGATAGAGTTCAATGCCCTGTTTTGAAGTTAGATTTTTATAAATTGAGAAAGGGTGATCTCTGTGAGCCCAACTGGTATCTTTTGGGGCAGTATAAGTTTCTGTCATGTGCATAGGCTCTTAATTTGGTATATTTATGTATCATGAGATATAAATAGCTGTAGTAAGTAAGGAAAGAATTACTTCTCTGCTCGCTGCTTCTCTGAGCATTTACTTAGATTTAATACATTGACTGCCACACTAGAAAAAAAATTTTTTCCTTGGGGCCATGGTGTTTTATTGTGAAAATAGAATAAAAACCTCGAAAATAAAATAATCCTTTCTAATTTAATGAAAAAGTTTGTTATTTTTTATTGTTTTCTGTGCATGGGTTATATACAACTTGAAAAATAGTTCTCACAGCTTCCAGGGTGAAGAGACGTGAGTTACATATGCTTCACGAGGCCCCAGGCTCAAAACTAGAGTGAGTTAAATTCAACTCACATGGCAGTTAATGTATTAAGTCAGTTATGTGATTAAAATTTTTCTTCACTCTTTTCTTTTTTTTTCTGAAGTTGTTCTGGAAATTACTTAGTTCAGTTCACTTCAAGTTGAGCCTTTATTGAAGGCCTATTTGGACCAGGTATTGGGCTAGGTTGGTGGTTCTCAATGGGAGAATGATTTTGTCCTCTAGGGGACATTTGGCAATATGTAGACATTTTTGACTGTCGTGATTGTAGGGGTATGTGTCAGGGTCTCCCCAAGATTACCTCCAGTATTATGGTTTGCCAGGAGGACTCACAAGACTCAGCATGTAATTATACTCATGGCTCTGATTTATTACAGTGGAAGAATGCAAAACAGTCAGGAGAGGTCAAGGTGCATGGGAGGAAGTCCAGGGAAACCAGGGACAAGCTTCCAAGTGCCCCCTTCCAGCGGAGTGACACAAGACGTGCTTAATTCCCCCAGCAGCAAGTTGTGACAACACTTGTGAGATGTTGTCAACCAGAGAAGTTTGTCAGAGACTCAGTGCCCAGGACTTTTCTTGGGAGCTGTTGTATAGGCTGTCTTTGCCTGACACATGCCAAACTTCCATAGTCCGAGAAGGAAAGCATGTGGTCAGCATAAACCATATTGTGCGAACAGTTTGGGCACAGTGAGCTACTCTTATCAGTTCTGGGGATGATGGAAGCCCTCCCCAAATCCAGGTTTCCAGACGCCAGCCAAGAGCCAAACTTATAAGCAGGCCTTTCGAAGGGCAGCAGTCAGGCCTGCTGTGTTAACTGTGTTCTGCACAGTGCAGTCGCCCACAACCGAGAAATACTGGGTCCAAATGTCAGCAGTGCTGTGGCCGAGAAACCCGGGGTAAGGCAGAGAGTGAGCGTGTGAGGAACAGTCAATCTGTCGGGACAGCTCGCTGCCTCTGGGCCTCTGTCTTTCTCAGCGCATCTTTCTTGAGACCATTAAACTAAACTCTCTTTATTATCTATTCTCGCTAATATAATCTAGCTCTCTTGTGTTGGTTTACGAGTCTTAATTCCCTTCAGATTTAATCCAGAGAAGAAAACATTGAATAGAATAGATTTAGTGAAAGTGAAACAAAGGAGAACAAACCACTCCGAACAGTAAAAATCATTTTCAAATAATTTAGTTTCAGAGATTTAAAACAGTTATATTGGTGGTATTTTCTTGGTAGTTTAATCTTTCCAATTTTTATATATAATTTGAAATTAAGATCTTTAACTAGATCCTTTAAGGTTTCTGTTAGTTTCTAAAGTTCTGTGATTCAATAACCCCAAAGCCAGTTTATCTTCAGGATAGCACAGAAAGGTAAAGGCTGCACTGGGCGTGATCCTACCTCTGCTGGCCGGTGGACGCATTTCTACAGCTTGGCTTGAGCCCACGCCCTCCATTTCCCTGCCAGCTTGCAGTCTGGCCCTGCACTTGTGTGTTACTTTTAGAGAGAACCCCCACCTTGATGCCTCACCCCCAAAACAAAAAAAGGTAAAGGCAAGTTTCAGACTTGTTGCCCTTCCAGGAACTCGGGAGAAGGCAGGGTGGGCCACCTCATGGCAGCATTTTGGGTTTGTTGCTCTTTGTGAGAGTTGCTATTTAAGGGAATTCCCACATCTCTTGAGGGCTACACAGAATAGCGAGAGTTTTGTTTTTATTTTTATTTTAAATCTCTCTCAGTATTTTTTCAATGGGAAGCTGAGGATTATTGCTATTGATAGCTTCTTCTCACAGCTGTGTTGGCCTCAGCTGGAATTCTTGTCATTTTCCTTCTAAAAGAACTAAATTGGGAGTTTACAACTGTTACTAGTGAGGGAGACTTCAAGTTCTCAGCGTGGTTTTGCTTAAACTTAGATGTCAGCGCTGCTGGGAGGAAACATGAAAGTCAGAACTAGTAATTTTAGTCTCTACAAGAAAAACAAGTTGACCTGAAAATTTTGTTTGCTTAATGCTAAAATGGCCATACTCCATCAACCGTCTGTCAGGTCAGGGAGAGCCAGCATGCAGCAGGGGGAACATTTTTAGACTCATTTACATCTGCACACTTATGTTGAAATGGAGTAGCAACAGAGTGGGAATCCAGTGATCCTGGTAACTTAATGTCTGACATAGAACTTTATTTCTTGACAGTGAAATCTAACCCAGAGTTCTTCTTTACTCAAGAGTTTCTTTGAGCACCACACATTAACATATGCATTTATTTCTATATCTGTAAGATAGATATCTGTCTATTTATGTATATTGAAAACCATGCATTCATATCAGTATCCCTAATTCCATCCAACACTGCAGGGGCATTCTGGTTTGCTCTCTTTCCATATTTGTAACTGCCTTCTCTGACTGCGAGGAATCTGGCTCCCGTTATCCTCAGTATCTTATTTGATCAACCCTCTTCTTACATGTAATCAAACTTCTATTGCCGCCACTGCCCCTGCACTGCACAGATGCCCTCCTTCTCCCCATTCAGACTCTGACGCCCACACTGTGCTGCTGTCTCACCCCGCCGCCAGCACAGACACCTTCCTCACACTTCTTGGGTTCCAACACTGGGGTGATGCTGTCATTGCCGTCATCCTCCCCACAACTTGGGTACCCTTCTCAGCCTGCCCCGGCTCTAACCCTCTGTTCTGGGCTGCCCAGATGCCCTCCTAACCCCACTTGGTCTCCAGCATCCCTAGCTGGATTGCCACAGCTGCCCCATACACTTGCCCCCAGTGCAGAAGTCGCCTTCTCCCTTCTAGGGCTCTGAAACCCTGCACCAGTCCATCTCCCTGCTCTTCCCCCAAGCAGAAGCTCCCAGCCCATCCCCCAAGCAGAAGCTCCCAGCCCACTAGGGCTTTGACATTCCACGTGTTCCATCTTCTCCCCTACCCCCACCACGCAGAAATGCCCTCTTCCATCTGGGACTCAAACACTTAACGCCCTCCTGCACGGACACCCTCTTCACCCTTCTTGGAGTCCCACGTGTCTATCATTCTGGACAATGGAGAGCTCCGGCTTTGTGCTATCAGCTCTACTTAAATATTAACAGAAAGGCTCCAGGAACATCCTTGAGCTCCATCATACAGCCAGGGTCTTGTGAATTGGAAAGACCTTTTGAGACCGTTTATCTCTAACTCGATGTATGACTTTTCACTGTAACTTTTTAATGAAGTTTTCTGATATATGTTGAAAAACTCACCACCTCACAAGACAGTTCATTTCATTTTCAAATAGCCTTAATTGTTAAGGTGGTTTCCCTGCTTGTGTTGTGGGTTTGACTGTAAATCTTCCTCTTGTTTAAACAGACAAGTTTGATTCAGAAATAATTTGAATGGTGATAGTGTTCACTTTGAGGTGAGCTGAGAGTGCTCCCTGTATGTGATCTTGCCATCACTAAGTCATACTTCTGAAAGTTAATGCTTTTACAAAAGAAAAATTATTGAGACCCAGGGCTGGGAGTAGAATCTAAAAGTCTGTCTCAATGTCTAGAAGGAGTGCTTTTGGCTGTACTGGCTCGCCTGGTGGCGTTGCCTGTGAGATACATCGCCAGTGTTTTCCCTGGCCTGCACCAGTTTGAGCTGGATTTAAGTGACTACTGCTTCTGGGTATGATATGCATTTCATTTCTTCCTGGAACCTGCTTTATATGATTCTTCTCTTTGACAATGATTTCTAGTGGTCTCTCAGCCCATACATGTTGGGTATCCCTTATCCAAAATGCTTGGGTCTAGAAATGTTTCAGATTTTAGGGTTTTTTTGGATTTTGAAGTATTTACATTATACTTGTGGTTGGGCATCCCAAATCCGGGAATCAGAAATCCGAAATGCTCCAAGGAGCATTTCCTTTGAGCATAAGTTGGTGCTCAAAAGTTTTGGATTTTGGAGCTTTTTGGATTTCAGGTTTTGGAATTTGGGATGCTCAACCTGTGTAGCCTCTCTGCTTGTGGGAGTCTTGCCTTCAAGGAGGGACTTATTTACCATCTAGTCTCCCCAAAATCTTCTCCTTGACTTCAGGCTTATTAACTGTGTTGTTCACATTTTGTCTCCTGTGGAGATCCACATGGCACTAGACCCTTGGAAACCCTTTCTTCCTTCCATTTTCCTTTACGCATCCTTGCTGTCCAGATGTTAAGATGTTTCATGCTTTGGTGAAACAGTTTTTTCTCCTTCTTGTTTTCAACTACCAATTCGGTCTTCCTCCTGTTGATGTGGGCTCGATGATGGGGACTCTTTCCCTGGAGCCTCTTCCTAGCACAGGGATGCCATTTGACAGCCAGAAGCAGTCTTTCACAAAACTCTTTGGATTGGACAGCCAGCGCTTCCCGTCAGCATTCCTTCTATCCCTATTTGAGGAACGCAGCCGTCTCTCAGCTCCTTTTCAGATCAGAGCCTGAGATATAACTAAGATAACATTTTGATGTTCTTTACAAATGACCAGTCAACTCGTCAGTTTCTCTCTTTCTCTAGATACACACACATATTTATAGCATAGTTTTAAGCTTGGCATATTGTGAACATTTCCTCACAATATTAGGGACTCTTCCTAAATACAATTTTTTATGATTGTGTAATATTTCAACATGAGTGAGTCATACTTTACTTTTTTATGGTATATAATTTGTTAAATATTTACTAATGCTACAGAGTGTAATTGCAAAAAAATAATCAGTGGATGTGAAGACTGATAAGGAAACACTTAACTGCCCTAAGTTTAATATCAAAGTTTGTCTTACCTTGACTGACATACCAGCTGCAATTTTCCAATCACCTGTTTTTCTCCCTTGTAGTCCTCGGCGACACTTCCTCCTGTCGTCTCAGATGGGTCTCCATCCCGAGTACAGAGAGGACCTGGAAGCCCTCCAGGCCAAACATGGAGAGTCGGTATTAGTACTCGATAAGTGCACCAACCTCTCAGAGGGCGTCCTTTCTGTGCGTAAGCGCTGCCACAAGCACCAGGTCTTCGATTACCCCCAGGTGCTGCAGGTAAGTGTCATTCATTCTTTCTCTCAAGGCTCAGTAGAGGTCGTTTTTGCAGGGCAAAATTGACCCCAACAAACTGGAGTTGTTTTCTACATGCAGCTAGAATTACCAAAGAGGGAAGAAAATGTAGCACTGCTCTTTGCTGGACATACAGACCTTCAGGTGCTTGGATATGTGGTGCATTGTGTTCTGCAAAGCTGCTTGGTCTATGAGAGTTCATACTCCTTTCAAATATGCATTATACTTCAAAAATGCAAATCGGGTAGATTTACAAAGAAGCCACATAGACAAAGCAGGCAAATGTATTAATATCTTGTTTTTACCCGTGTATTCATAAGCTAGTCCAGAGAAATTCCCTTCTTTTAGGTGGCAGCTTGCATCTCCTGGCCGTGCTGGCCTACAAGGCAACAGTCAGCTTTCCTTGGGAGTGGGAGGTTTTTTTGGTCATTTATATCATTTTGGTTTTGGGAGTTCTTACCATCCTTAGCATGTCCTACCAGTCCTTTACTTACATCATGGGAACGGCTGTACTTCCATAACCATAGGCAAAGCAGTCCCTTTGGGGCTATTTTATAAGCAGGATATTTGACATTTCAAGTGTATGGGGGCTAGGAAAGGAGAAATTGAGCTTTGTTCATTTCAATATTTAAAACACAGGTTAGTTCAAGGAGAAATATCAAGGAGCTGGTGTGATTTTTTTTTTTTTTGGATCTCCAGAGAGCTAGCCCATACTGAGATTGTTAAAATACTTTCTCTCAAAAAGTTCTGCATCTCCTGTGGAATGTCTGACTGATAACAGTGGTGATGCGAGCAGGAGTATTTATAGTAACCTTTGTCTAGACCGGAAAAATGGTTATCACAATGTGTGTCCACATCTGGGTGCCAACTCTTGAGGTCAGGCAGAGCTTTCCACCTGCACCTCCAGGCGCCGTGGCGGAGTGTCTTCTTCCACTCGTGCTGCTTTTCTCACCTATCCCCAGAGCAGTTTGGAATATTGAGTCTCTTTATAGTTATTTCTGAACTTTCCTTTCTCTAGCTTTAGAATAGATAGGGTTTTTTTTTTTTTTAAACCTTTTACAAAATTCTTCTGAAGAGGCAAAAACTGGGGGAACCCGAATGTTAGAGAATTAGTCTCTCCTTGTTTTGGTTTACCTATTGCCACTATTTTCTCTTGGACACTTCTCTTTGTCCCAAGTATTCCCCACATTGAGGGGGTGTGAGAGAGTGAAGAAAGAAGAAATTTTTTTGAGATTTTGCTTTTGTTAGATTTGTTTCTAAATAGAACATTTCAGTCTTAATATGTTTTCGAATGCATTGCATTCATGGAATGAATATCTTCTACATACAAAGCACACTGCTAGCTGCTATGGGAAGTAGAAGGATGAAAAGAGATTTGATACCCTCCCTTTAGGGGGTCCCCTAGAGAACCCGAAGTTCCCAGACAAAATAATTCCATTCCAAGGTAGGCTGAGGTAAGAACTGTAAGCGACGTTCAGACAATGTGCCATGGTGCGTTTACATTGTACACACTAGGGCTGAAAGAAACCCGTCTGTAGGACGTCACATTGTTGAATGTCCGGGGGAGACTTTGACATTGGTATTGAACATTTTCAGAATGCCAGTAGTGGTGACATTGAAGTAACACTGAAGAGTGGAAATACAAAACATTGCAACCAGTTAAGCTTTTCAGAACTTACAGGTGCGAGGTGTTGTTATCTTTGGCATTTTTGTGTCAAGATGCCCCAGTATTGCTTGGCTTCAGCCCTTGAGGGAAGTATAAGGTCTGCCAGATCAAGGCAAGTGGACCAGCACAACTGTTTTGTAATCCCCAACCTCTCTTCATGTTCCTACAGGAGGCCACTTTCTGTGTGGTCCTTCGTGGAGCTCGGCTGGGCCAGGCGGCACTGAGTGACGTGTTACAGGCCGGCTGTGTCCCAGTTGTCATTGCAGACTCCTACGTTTTGCCTTTCTCTGAAGTTCTTGACTGGAAGAGGTGGGTATTACTGTCTAGAAAACTCTAGAATAGTGCTTCTATGTGTATTAGAAATAAAAAGCCCCTCGGGTAATTGTAATGTATGCCAAGGTTTGAGAACTACTATTTTAGTCTATTTTGCTTTATTTTCTATCAGGAGAGTTTGTATATTGTCCTAGAGCAGTTCACAAACTAGACCTGTGGGCCAAATTTGCAGGCTGGCTGTTTTTGTAAATAAAGTGTTACTGAAACACAGCCGGGCCCCTCATTTGCGTATTGGCTGGCTGTTGTCCTGCCATGTTGGCAGAGTTGAGTAATTATAGTACAACAGAGATTGTATGGCCTACAAAGCCTAAAGTATCACTGGCTGCTCCTTAACAGAAAACGATTACACCCCTAGCCTAGAACAGTGGTTTCCAACTATGACTGAGGAGTAGATGCACCTGGTGAGCTTTTTTTAAAAAAAAAAAAATGCCTGGCCTTATCCCTGGGGATTCTGAATGTGAAAGCTCCCAGGTAATTCTGATCTTGAGCCACAGTTGAGAACCACTGTTCTAGAATCTCTGTCAAATTTGCATAATATACTAGCTGGAAGTGGAGAGCCTCTGTGTGGATGAAAGCTTAGGAACATTACTAGTGTACAGATGGACCAAAATAGATCCTGCTTGGTGTTGGCTATTAATACTGTAATTAATGGGATAGCACCCTATTCTCGTGTTTCATTTTTCCAAGACTTTGGAAGTCGAAGATTACTGAAAATTAATTCCATTTGTGTATCTCTCAGTCTTGTCCTTGCCTCAAATGCTTAATTGCTTTCTCCTCTCCTAACTTTTTTGATATTTTAAGTCCAATCACCACACTTGTACAATTTAAATAGCACTAATTAATTAATTCATTCATCTCACGTTGATTGGGGAGCCTGTTGTGGATAACATAGAGTCTCTGTTTCTGAGGAGGCTGGAATCTACTGAGGGAAGCCAAACCGACGACTCTAATACTCTGTGGTAAACGCCATAGTAGATGCATGCAGGGGGCCGTGGCAGCCCAGAAGAGAGGAGGGAGCCTAACTCAGCTTGAGAGAGGAGAGTATGCAGTGATTCTTTATACCTTAGAGGAGTGACTAGCCACTTCCAGAATTTATCCACCTATGAAAGCATTTACTGAGTACCTTTTATTTGTTAGGCACCGTGTCCGGTAGAGGGAGACAAAGATGATCGAGGCCAAACTGTTCTAGAAAGCTCATGGTTTAGTGGTGGAAGATAGACAAGTAAACCAGCAATTGCCAAATCTTGTGATGAGATGCAGCCATGACTGGCTGGGATGGTAGGGGAAGAGGGAGAGGGAGATACATGCTGTTGTTGGCAGTGGGATTTGTGAGGGCTTCTCAGAGGCGGTGACTCCCAGCTGAGTTTGTAAGGACATTTCTATGAGAATCTAGATCTGCTTGATTAGTGGTAGTTATGGACGAGTGGTGGAAGGGCTTTGGATCTGAAGTCAGAGGACCTAGGTTCAGGTAACCAGCTCTGTAACTGGCCAGCTTTGTGATGTTGGCACATCATTTAACCTTATTTTGGGCCTCAGCCTTCCCATCTGTATAGTAGAAATCATTTACTTACGTAACAAATGTTTGTCCAGCGCTAACAGTATGCTAGACAGTAATATACCAGGTGCTGAGGAATCACTAGTGAGGAGAGCCAGACACACTTTCTGTCCTAATGGATTAGCCCAGTTGGCAGGTGTGGAGTTTAGATTTTAGTAGGTTAATTTATACAAATGTAATTACAAACTCTGCCAAGTGTGATGAGGGAAAAGTGATTGCCGAGTCCTCTCTTTCTCTTGCCCACCGTGTCTCATCTGTTAGCAAATCCCGTGGGCTCCGCCCTCTCATCCCTTTCATGGGCTCCTCTCTCATCAGCGTCTCTTGCCTGCGTCTGCAGTGGTCTCCAGCTGTTCTCCCTGCTCCTGTTCTTGCTTTCTTGTAATTTGTTCTAACACTTTAGACAGAATGATCCTGTTGGAACATAATCAGATCATAGCATGCCTTTGGCCAAAACTTTCTAATGGGTTTCCATCTCAGAGTAAAGGCACATCACCTTATGTGGCCTACAAGGTGACCCTCGTGGGGCTCTGTGACCCTACTCTGTTTCTCCTTACCTCTTGTTAATTTACTCTGTTCCAGCCACGGTAGCCTCCTTGCTGTTCTTGGAACGTGCCTGCTCTGCTGCTGCTTCAGGGCTGTTCGCTTGTTAATCCTTCTGCCTGGAATGCTCTCTCCTGGGGCATTCTCATGGCCGGCTTACTCTCTCACTTTCCTTGTCTGATTTGTTCACTGTTGTGTTACCAGGGCCTAGCACATGTTTTAATAATAGGGCTTCCATAAGTATGTGCTGAATAAATGATTATATTTGAGTAGATAGCTAAAGGAGAAAAGTATTTGTTAATTCAGAAAGACAGTGAAGAAGAGTGTACCATGTTGATGGAATTTCACGTGCAAAGGCCCTGTGGTTGGGCAGAGCATGTTGGGCAGAGAATACCAGTGTGGCTAGAGCACACCAGTGGAGCAGAGGCAGGATGAAAGATAAAAGGAGTAGTGAGCGGGAGGTGGAAAGATGGCGCTGGTAAGACAACTCCTTTGAGAAGGTTGGCTATGAGAAAAGGGGGGAGAGAGAGAATGCTCAGTGCAAGGGATGTGGGGCTGAAGGAGGTCCAGGGTATTGTTTCTGCTCATGAGAACGAAACAAGACTGTACATAGCAGGACTTTCTGTAAAGGGCTGTACATATGTAAATTGTTTTGCTATTGTCTGCAGAGCTTCTGTGGTTGTGCCAGAAGAAAAGATGTCAGACGTGTACAGTATTTTGCAGAGCATCCCCCAGAGACAGATCGAAGAAATGCAGAGACAGGTAAGAGGCCAAGTCCAAGCAGCCCTGTTGGGGAGGTGACATGGGTGCTGTGATGGTAACCTTGACCGCGTGGACACAAGGAACAGCAGCTGATTGTCTTCCTCCACCAGATCAACTAATCAGACTTAAATGATAGGAGAGCAGTATTTGAGTGAGTTGCATTTTATTTGGTTTGCAATATTAGCCATCAGAGATTTTAGAACTCATCTGAGGTAAGCCTACTGAGATTTTAGGGGTTTACCATAGCGATGTCTTCAGGTGCAAAGCTGAAACTCTTTGGAAGGTTTGTAGTCACAGCTGGTGACAGTCTTAGTGACTAAGACAGCCATGGAGGCTGGACCATTTTAGGGCAGTGCTTCTGTGTGGCTGTCGACCACGAGAATGTCGCTGGACAAGCTGGCTGAGGTTCCCAGTTCAGATGGCCTTTGTATTTAAGGGGTCTTCTTTTCTCCCCTTGAGTATTTGCCATTTTCCTGCCTCCCTTTCCCAATCTCTCTTCCATATTCTGATGCTCCCTTTCCCTGGGCTGCTCACCAGCTCTCTGAAGTACTCCCCTGGGTGTCCCATTTAGTCCTGGTTCCCTTCTTTCTCCTGAGATTTAACTGGGCTTGAATGTCAAGCAAGGTGAAAAAATTATCTATGTAGGAGAGGAGCAGGGGAAGAGGCTTGGTGGATCACCCATTAAGTGGGTGATGAAGTGGGTGCATCCCTGTTTGTACTTTGGCACCGCTACCTGCAGGCAGAGACGAAGAGGGAGCTGTAGGCTTCTGCCTGGATGAGAGCAGGGCTGTCGCCTGGCTGTGTGGAATGGGGAGGGGGTCAGGGGTTCTGGCTGCTTCTTAAACACATTTGCAGTCTTCCTCCTGCTTTAACCCCACCTTCCCCCCACTTGCAGTTCTGCGGGTGTGATCGGGTTTTTCTCGGCTGATTTAAGGTGCAGCTTTCTTGGGCTCTAGTGTCAGTTACCACTTCTCCCTCTACTTTTCAGCTTCCACATTTTGTTGCTGTTATTTTTTCTCCCACTCTTTCATCTGAGGGTGTTTATACCTTATTTTTAGAAAGTCCCCTTAATTGCCATATTAGTGGATGCATTCAGTCCACTCTCTTTTATTATGATACTGAACTTCTCACCATGCATTGATTAAGTCTGTAGGTTCTTACATCAGACCACCTGGGTTGAATGTCAGCCCTGCGGGTTACGAAGTCTGTGCCTTGCCTGGGCCTCAGGAACCTCAGCTGCACAGCATTTTGGCATTCTGATTTGAACACAAAGCACAGGTTGAATTTAGCTTCCCGGCAGTTTCTTCATGGCATCCTCATGATGATTTTAAGTTTCTGGAGTTCCCAATTGTTACTTCACGCTGATCGCATCTTTTCAGTGAATCAGAAAATCAGTCTAGAGATCTCTAGATTTTCAGTCTAAACCTATGGTTTTTAAAACTTATGTAGAACAAAATGCTCCATGAAGAGTCATAGCGTTTGTGCTCTTTGTTGTTACTTTTGATGACATCTTGATTTAGTAACATAACTAAATATAGAATCATATGCTAAATCAGATAGTATTTTATATTCGATTCTAGTCTAGAAAGATTAAGAAAAAACTGGGGTGGTAAAAATGAGCAAATTCTCCTTCCCCACCCCTCCACCCTGAAGTTGGGAGAGGGAATCATTTGGTTTTCAGAGTAGGGCACCTGCTGCCAGCTCACAGAATGCTGTTGTCCCGCAGGAGCACAGTGTGGGAACCACAGCTCTGAGACAAGCGTGGCAGGTCATTTTCAGTGGTAGGCTCAGAATCATGGAACAGCAGAGATGTAATGAATGCGGGTCATTTTAAAACAGCACACTTTTAGGTTATTTGGGTGCAGAGAGACACATTTGGAGTCAAAAGTCTTTGGGTTTGGGTCCTGGCTCTGTCCTTATGAATTGTATCACCATGAAAAGTCACCAAAGCTCCCTCAGCTTTCATTTTCTCATTTTTGAAATGAAGGGGTTGGCTAAACCATCTCTCATGTTCCGTGTAGCTGTTAAATAACTCTATGAAACTCTTATTCCCTGCAAGAATATTATTATTCTTGACATTAATAATTAAGTGGCTGTCTCTTCTTCCCTTGAACAGCTCTAGTCACAAGGGCCACTTACCTCCTCTGGTGGCGAATGCCCTCCACTATGCCAGCTTGCAAAAGAGAGGCAGTCTTGGCACTTCCTGCCCCCTGTCTAACTCTCTCTTCTGCTCTCTGATGTCCTTTCCCTATGCTGCTCTCCCTCTAGGGCTCTCCTCTGCAGGGCCTCATTGTCCTGCTCCCCTTTCTCTGAGTCTTCTGTGTTCCCAAAATGACTTCTTTTCTTCTCAATCCCACATTTCTAGACTGGACTGATCTCAACTAAATGCGAGATTATCTGGTTGAAACAATTCCCAGTTAGATATAAAGGATGACTGCATTCAACTAATAGGCACCAGTAGCACCCCCTCCCCGAGTTGTGATGACCAAAAATGTCTCTAGACATTGCCAGGGTCCCCCTTAGGGGAGAGGTGGGGAGGGAAAAATTGTTTTCATTGAGAACCACTATTCTGTTGATGTCTCTTCTCTCTTAAGATTGGAGAGTTCTTTTGCTTTATAACAAAATATGCTCTTTCCAAAATATGCTTCTCATTTTGCCTCTGTTTACCTTCCGTTGAGTTAACCTGACCTTGGTAGGAGTAACTAAAAAAATAGCATACACCTGATTCTGAAAAGTTCTTACACCTTAATGAATTCTCTTTAGGGAGGTCAGATGTGGGTATTTTTGTCAGATAGGCATAAACTTTTAGGGGAAAGCCTGTTACATCAGTGGTTGATACTTAGAGCCTGTAGATAATATGTCAGAATGAAGAGAGGGTCTGATTAGTGTGCTGACAGACTCTGAACTAGCTTAAGGGAGTTGCATGGACAGTTGTAGCCAGCAGAGGTCTCCATCCACTTTTAAGTGACTCATTTTCCTTCTGAGTATTTAAATCTTTCCAAGAAATCCTAAGTGCTATGAGCCACTCTCGTGCTTCACACTGACATTGTCTTCATAGCGGCTCTCTAGAGACCCGTTCTTTCAGATGGAGAAGAAATAGTGCTTAGCACAGGATTGTGTTTTCCCTAGATGAGATAGAGGTAAAGTTTCTGAATTGACCTCAGAAATGTGAGGTAGGATTTTGGTGAGGAAGGTATTGCAGCTAGAATCTGATGGCCGTAGTGGTGACAGTCCATGTCGTGACTTGGGCATTTGAATGTACTAAGGGAGAAAGACCTTCTGCCTAACAAGGAAAGGAAACAAAATTCTTCTCTTGACCTTAGTTGTGGTAATGGAGCAGCCGTAAAGTTCAATACAAGGCTAGAGCCTAAAGTAAGGAAGAGCTGTAGTTAAGCTAAGATTTTTGAAGAACAGTACAACCTGTGTCTCTGGTATCTACTCTGGAGGACTACCAGTGAGCAGTGCTGGCACATGTGGCATTGGACAGGTTAGTGGGGGCTTATCGGGTTTTTTGTGGGTAAGTTAAAAAACAGTGTAAAGCTAACTCATCAGTTGGCCTTTTATTGTCCTTTGAGCTAATTAACTAGTTAATTAATTTATTGAAGCCCTAATTGGTGCTTTTCAGGGAGAGATTATGAGAGATAATGAGATATCTGTGATCCTCACCCACAAAGGGCTAATAGTTGTCTTGGGGATATGTAAGTAGGAGCATAATGAAAGTTGAGAAGATGGTGCCAATTTTCCAAAATACATAAGGGGTCTGAAGCAGAAGGGAGAAAGTTTGGGCTAAAGTTGTCAGGCTGGATTTATTGGAGAGGTAGCATTTGAGGTAGGCCTTAAAGATAGGAGTTCCATCAACGTCTTTCTTACATTGGAAGGAAGGCAGATGTATGCAACTAAATATTTTTTTGTAGTCAGATGGAACATTCATATCCCCCAATCTCCCTTGAATCACAAAGAAAAAGTATACGATCTAGGGTCTCGGATGACTGGATAGACACTAGACTGTATCGTTAGAAATGTTTGTGTGGATAGGGAGGAAGGTGTAAATGGATCCCCAGTTTATCTGTTGAGTAGAATTTCCAAACATTCTTTTATTGGTCAGTGGCTCCATCAGCAGTGACCTCTAACCTCAGCCACACTAGGAGGTGGAAGTCAGGAGCCGGCCTTGCCTTTGAACTCTTCTTTGTACTCGATTGACTAGGAGCCTTTGAGGTGGCAGAAAGATTCAGCATCTTCTTTTCTCTCTAGCCTTTAATACTCGGGGTACATTAAAATATCTTTTCAGTCTATTACACTGATCAATGCGCCTTCGTATTTTCCTATTAAGCATATCAAATATTTGTGCTGCTGAGAAATACTTGAAGATACAGTGGGCTGATTAGGAAAAAGCCAAAATATGTCTGTTTAAGAAAATAAAACCCCAGGCATGTGATGTCCTGACCTACAGGATCAAGAAGAGAGCAGAAGAGGCCACAAAACAGTGAAATATACGTGCGTATACTGAGGTTCGTGGGCTTTACAGGAGAGCCCCTACAAGGGGGCTCTTCTTTGTACACAACTTAAAACGCATTGAATTATTTGGTTTTCATAGTCACAGTAACTTAGAAGTCACAAATTTGAGGGGGAGAAAGACAAGTGAAGGTCTCTAAGATAGGTCATCTGCCAATCTGATACGAATAGAGAAGAAGGAAAAGCTATTTTTTTAAAAAAAAACCCTCAGTATATCAACTATAAGGACAGTTTTGCAAGGCTTTACTGTATCCTGGGTATATCATTGTAAGATGACAGAATTCCTCAATTCAAAGAAGTACATGTTTGTTTGTTTTTCATATTTTGAATTTCTGGCATCCAAATGAGTCTTACCATCAATTCAGACACTGAACGTAGTTTCTATTTCTTCCCACCAAATTGTTATTGATGGGGCATCTTAAAATTGTGGAAATACTGAAATTGCTATTCCTGGTGATGCTCCTGAATCTTTAAGCTAAGATTTAATT